TTTCCACAGTCCATATTTACCCCTGAAACAAATCACCATCAGAAGGCTTTTCTTTTTCTTAAGCTTTAAAGATTATGTAAAAATGCATTGATCATGAAGCGGTCATCGTGGTTTAAATTCTGAGAGTACCTGCTTTCAGCGCAAGAGCCACTGCATCCTCTGTTGTAGCCGTGTAATTAAGAACATTATAGTAAATCTCAATAGCACTACAATCTGAAGCTAAGTATTTTAGTCTTTACCAGGAACCAGTTCTTCAAGTGATATGGTCAAGTTGTCCCAGTACACATCCCGGGGTTCTGGAGCCCATTCAATGTCAATCAGCCATTGTGTTGGATTGCTGGATTGCTGTGTTTGTGCACAAGTGGCAGCAGCCCATCTTGTTTTAAAGGAAACGAATGCAGCTGGCATTACAGCATCCCGGTTGCTCATGACCTACTGTATTTCTGTTGAGATCTAAAGAAAAGGTTAGAGAAAGTTAGGACCATTCTGGTTGAAACCAGGAGGGTTATGGATCGTTCATGAAGTGATTCCAGATATGTGGTCTAAAGAACAATATGACAGTTGTCTTACCTCTCCGATATTCTCTCAATCTCTGATGTGTAGTGGTCGATTGCATCCACCCTTGCCCCACAAATGCCAAGGAAACCAGTTTGTTTGATGAAAGAGGGGGAAAGCATTAGTGAAGAGAATTAAACCACTAATTATAAGAGTGCATCAAGCTCTCTCTTGTATATGAAGTATGTAAACAAGATACTGTTGGAGTAATCAAGAATACCTTTATTGTGGGTTTCGTAGAAGGATTTCTTGATTACTTGATTTGGTAGTAGACAAAAGTTCAGAACCAACTCTACCACCAGTAATCCGGCTTCTAATACCAAGTGAGAGGAAAACAAAAGTCAAATTTTGCAGAAGAAACAAATGGAATCTCTTATTGATAATCAACATAGTCAAATTAACTCCTCAATCAAATCCTATATAAATCGAGCCCAAAGGAAGGAAGAACAGAATCAAGACTAGAGGCCGATCAATGAAATTTCAGCACAAAAGCTACATTGGTTTGGTCCACGGTAGTACATCCAACTGTTATTTATGCACTTAATATAATAAATTGAAGGAAGGTTAGTCTCACCTTTACAGAGCATATTTATGTTGGGCATCAGAAGATTACAAGAATCGCATTGCAAACTTTTGGAGCTGCAAATTCAACAGGCAAACCAGAGGGTTCACTTCAGGAACCTAGATAGTAGGAACAGACAAAACAAGTCCTACCTAAAACATGAACACACATATCTATAACGACAACGAAAAAACGAGAATCCATAATCCAGATGAGCTGCATTCGCACTCAGATTGGTTTTTAGGGAGCCAAACAGAATCCTTTTAGAAACTTGAGTCGCCGAGTTAATGCAGTGTTCAAAAGCTTGCCTTGCCCATATTACGCCCATAACTGAAAAATACAGCTCTGCTGCCCCTAAGAGAAAACAGAACATACAGCAGTAGACAAAGCAAGAAATCATTAACGAAAATTTGATGCAGATTCAAGAGGTGCCCCACTAAGTTAAAACTCATCACCAGGCTCTAGTGATTTGCTATATTCCCCATGTTCCATAAAACGGAGTATTTTCAAGTTCCCTTACCTCAAAGACAAAAGGCAAGCCTCCTGAAACAATAACAAAGTGAAAGAAACATCACCACTAACTCATTACATGCCAATATCACTGCTAATTGCCCAAAAAGCTAAACAAATAGAGAAACCTAATCAATTAGTGAAATGAGTAATCCATCAGCACCCGTAGCCGTAGTCAAATCAAATGCTGGTACTTACTTGGAGATCTCATCCCAATCATGGCTGAATCGGTTGACCACGAGCCGCTCTTCCTCACAGAAGATGGCCTGATCGACGAACCATCCCTAGTGGAAGTGCGATGACAAGTATGAAATCGAGGCAGCTTCTGCGCACTCTGCTTTCCTCTCCGATGGTTTGACATTTGGGGAACTTTGTTGGAATCCCTAACAATATGAAGGGACTTTGGTCGTGGATTTTATGGCCCGCCACCCCCATGGAGCTCGATGCTGAGAATCAATGTTGGCGGTGTGGGCTAGGGATCGAGGAGATGAAAGGAGGAATCTCTAGAGCTCGACGATCGCTTTTCGCCATTCCCTCTCCAAATTTTAAACATAATAGGGGCCGAATAGAAAACCAGAAAATCGTAGAAGGGAAAGTAGGAATTTTCAATTTCGAACTGGAACAGGGGATGAGATTAAGTAAATTATGTAGCAAGGGGTTTTGAAACGTTGGCACAAACCCTTGTTACAACGAATTTCGGAAAAAATATTAGGGGTTTTGAAACCCTTGCTACGAAACCCTTGCCATAGGGTCTCTTTTTTGTAGTGATTTCTTGATTAGATGGATATGAGGATTGGACTGGACTGGACTGGAGCTTTCTTGGTCACTAATTTAGTACTCCACATTTTGGGTATCGGTAGACTAATCCCTTAAAGTTTATAATTATTACTTCAATGAATAATTTTCTTGGTTTCATTTGGAGATAAAAGAAATCAAGTTAATAATAACAAAACTTATGAATAAATACCTCTCAAACCATTCATTGTGACAATACCAAGGGTAAAAATTTATCCTGAAATATGAAAAAGATATAGAAACATTAATTTAGGACGAGCAGATAACAAAAAATGCGTATGAACTAATTGTTGGGGAAAATTGTTCATGTATACTATTTTCTTGCAACACAAGCAAACACATAAGATTAAGAAAAACATGCAAAGACACATGCAAGCGTCCTAGCCGATATAATTCACTATCTCTCCTTAAAGAATCTTATTCCCCTCAAGTACCCAAGGTTGTGGAATGATTCCTCCCAGGATAGAAAGGACGTACCTTTTCCGGCGTAGCGGTACCTCAAACCCCGGAAACCATCGAACGCAGCGAAACGGCGAGAACCACACTTGACTCTATTTTCTCTTTGAAAAGAATGCAGAAAAAAACTAGTTTTGGATTTTGGCAGAGTTTCAGTACCGGGAAAAATCTATGTAAAACTCGTAGTTAAAACAAGAGGGGGTATGGTGCTATTTATAGAAAATGAAGGGATGCATTGAAGGGAGGCAACTCTTCATATGGGTGGTTACACCCCAACCATTGCATTGGTTCGGCCTCATGGAAGTTGGACCGGTTTGGTTATTCCAACCGCCATATCGGTTCGTTTCGAATTGGTTCAACTCGGTTTGGTTCATTTGGTTACACAAACCAATTTAACCAATTAACCACATATTACATCAAATCGATCGAATTCGAGGCCATGCCTTCCCACATCTTACCAACATGGTACTTCAAGAGACTCTCTTGAAACTTTCCCCTTTTATTTCCATTCACACCACTAAAAATCTCAACACTAATTGCTCATAATATCACCAATAATGAGTACCACAAGTATTCTTTTCAAATCATACATAATCTATATAAATACTTTCAAATGATTTAAAATATAAATAAATTGATAAACATAAATAGTAAAAAATATAATGAAATTTATCCGACCAACGGGTCGGGTAAAAGCTAGTAATAGATATAGTTGAATCTAATTAGATATTCCACGAAATAGTGTAAGAAACTAAAAATTGACAACGGTGTTGCATTTTCAAAGAGGCTCGTCGGCAGCGATTTAAAATAATTATAACGACAACTCTACATTATCCAAAAAAAATTATATGGATAAATCTAAAATAAATTGTGAAATCTGAAATAAAATTATAAGGATAACTCAAAATTATTTTATAATGACAATCCCTAATTAATTAAAAATATGGACGGCCGGTGACGTGTGGGTTACATGTCCGGCCATGTCCGGTGACGTGTGAAATTTACGTTGCAAGCCATTGTTGGACGTGTATTCAACACGTCGCTGATGCAGGTGAACGTAGGCCGACGTGGGTGGCTGGAGATGGTGACCGACGATAATGGTCAGTGGTGGCCGAAGATGATTGTTGCCGTTGGTGAGTGTGGGCGGCGTCCGGAGACAGTTGGATTAAATGGTGTTTACAAGAGGGAGGTTGACATTGTTTTTTAATGAGCAGTAAATTTGAACATTTTAGGCCTACAAATAAAATTTTTACGGACCATATATAGTAATTCAGTTTATTTTTGCATATGCCTTGTATTAATGAGTTTGATAGATACTAATATAAAAAAAAAAAAAAAATCATTTCCATTAAATTTCTGTAGTACTTTGATTATTCTATAACATAAATGATCATATAGGGTGCCACATGGAGCGTCGTTGGTTGGCGGCTTACAAGATTTGAAGATTTGTTGGCAACGGAGAGACAGAGACACTTGCGGCTCCCCTATCCCTCCACCACCTGACTTTTACAGTGGCGAGTAACTCCCTGTCTCTTCCTCCAAGTTACCAAATGCTCCTTCCACGACACTCAAAACTCCTTCTTTACTGTAAGTCGCGAACCAGTCACTTGCACCTTCTAGTTACGAAGCTCTTCCCAGTTCCCCCCAGTTTCAGTTTTTACAGATCTATCGCGAACGGTTAGCCAAGGGAATTCCCATATCCTTCCACCACAGTTTTTTCTCCCTACTGCGATGAAGGTATAACTATATACGTCGAACTCTGTAACTCAGCACAGGATTGACCTGAAACCGGCCATTTTGTTGTTGTTTGGTCCCAGAAAAGCTCGATATCCATGTTGAGAAACGACGGCGATGTCCTCTTAGCGCAGGTTCTCTTCACAATCACAAGGTCACACTCATAGGGTCACATATTTGCTCTGTTTTTTGTTTCTTTATGGCTTAAACTACTAGTTGCAGAAGAGGAAGTCGATAGTGAGGGATAAGGTGGATTCTCTTGTGCCCAAGGTATGCATCTAATTCATTTAATTTGACACGTCCCATCTCCAATTATGTGGGTTGATTACCAAAACCCAGCTTGCTTTAATTTTCCTTGAAACTTTGATTCATCTGTGTTGTTCTGTATATGGCACTCTGTTTGCGTTACAAGGAATGTCGAACAAACTTGGCTATTGATGTGAGTTCTGGGACGACGAATGACACGGTCCGTTTCTCTCAGCTCAGTCCCTTGTTTGAACCTCTTTGGCTATCTTATTGAGTAGGTATTGCCCTTCATAGCTGACCAAAATTTTGCATTTTCAGTTGTCTCGGAGAACAAGGAATGATGACGATGACCCAGCAGAGTTTCTGAGAGATATCCCAGCAGACCTTGAGGTAATTGAACCTACTTTTTCATGTTTTCAGTGTTCTCGTTCAAACTTCCCCGATATCAAGCCCTTGAATTCCATTTCGGTCTGCAGGAAGGGGAGGTTGATGACAATGAAGATGATGATGAGGAGGAGGAGGCAGCACGTTCCGGCGGAAAAGTCTGCCATGGATGCCATTTGGTGAGAGGGAAGATGGACCATGAAATGGAAGATTATGTAGTGGCAGAGAACAGGAAAGTGGATGGCTATGAGCTCGGATTGTATGCAATCTTTGATGGCCATTCGGGCCGCAACGTAGCCAAATATCTGCAGGCTCATCTCTTTGACAATATCTTGAATGAGGTACATGGACATCACTGTCCTCAACCACAACCCGAAGCTTTTTCTTCATCTTTAAATACGCTGACCTCACATGTCTGGGTTTGTTGTGCTTCCTTTAGCCCGACTTCTGGAGGAACCCGAAGAGTGCCATCAGGAGAGCGTACAAGACCACGGACCAAGAGATTCTTGAACACGTTGTGGGCCGAAGTGGTGGATCAACCGCAGTCACAGCCATACTAATTGATGGGAAGACGTTGGTTGTGGCGAATGTGGGTGATTCGAGGGCGGTTCTGTGCAGGAATGGCATGGCGACTCAGGTGTCTGTTGATCACGAGCCCGAGAAAGAGAGAGGCCTTGTTGAGAGCAAAGGAGGGTTTGTTGTCGAGATGCCTGGTATGCACATGCGAATGCTCTTCCAACTTGAATCCACTTGCGGTAGTTTCTGCAGAATTAGTATTAACAATCTTGCAGGGAATGTGCCTCGGGTGGATGGGCAGTTGGCAATGTCTAGGGCTTTTGGAGATGCAAGGCTGAAGGATCACATCTCTTCAGAGCCCGATCTAAAGATTGTTACCATTGATCGTGATGACACGGACTCCATCATTCTGGCCAGTGATGGCCTCTGGAAGGTGGGTGTGTCTTGCTTAGGAAGCTGCTGTTAGCTGTGTAAAGTCGAGCTCAATGTTTTTTACGTGTTTCGTCTCCACCGTGGGTGGGTGGGTGGGCAGGTTATGTCGAACCAGGACGCATGCGACTGCATCAGAGGTGTGGAGGATCCAAAGGAAGCAGCTAAGACTTTGATTGCAGAAGCTTTAGCAAGAGGCAGCAAAGATGATATTTCATGCATTGTTGTGATGATCGACTAGCTCTGCAAAGCTGCATGATCGCTGTTCTTGAGCTCCTGATAGCCAGCGGACAAGCTTCAACTCCCCTGCAACAAACTTGGTGTAGATATGGAACGAGAATCTTGTTGTTCGATAAATAAAAGATGCATAGAAGTATCAGAGTGTTTAGTGCAAAAAATGTTTTCCTTTTGGTAGGATTACTATGTGATACTAGCTTCTATCAAAAAAGTTAACCGTTGCACCAGAACTGTGCGAGAGAGGAATACATGTTATCAACAAAGTATGAGAATGAAGCAAAAGGGGCAACACTCAGGATCCTGACAACGGCCAGCGGAGAAAAGAAGGAAAATGAGAAGCGCGGTCGACCGTATTCTATGTTGTGGTGACTCGCTGTTGCTGCTGCTTGGCCTCAATATCCTGGAGTCTAAGAGTGACGGCCCTCTTGTGGGCATCGAGCCCTTCAACTTCAGCCATGGTAGCCACAAATGGACCAAGGCTTCTTAGGCCTTCTTCGGTTAGAGACTGAATTGTCATATACTTCAAGAACGAGTCCAAGGATACTCCGCTGTACATCCGGGCATACCCGTAAGTCGGAAGCACGTGGTTTGTCCCGCTGGCGTAATCCCCGACACTCTCCGGCGTCCACTGACCCAAGAACACAGAACCTGCGGTGAAACCAAAAAGAGTTTATTACCAAGGAGGGGGCAACAAAGTCCCCTAGGTTAAAGAACTAATTAGCCGTTTAAGCCAATAAGACGAGGGAGAGGCAAGTCCTCTTACCTGCATTCTCAACAAGACCCTCCCATTTCTCGGCATTTTCCACATTGATTATCAGATGCTCGGGTGCATACAAGTTGGAAAAGGAGATGGCCTGCCCAGAAAATGCAATTTGAACATGGAAATTAATAACAGAATAGACACGCCAAAATTAGCCCGAGTTTGTGGTGCAATAAGAGCAAGAGTTTGACACTAATGATTCTCAGCAACCAAGAAGAATAAAGGACCTACCTCTATCATATCACGAGCGTACACGCTGAAACTGTGACTCAAAGCTTTCGCGGCATACTCTCCCCTAGGAAGAGCTTGGCACTGCTTACTAATTTCCTGTTCAATAGCTTCCATGTCGATCCCATCTCCGACAACTACAAGAACAACCTGACTATCAGGACCATGCTCAGCCTAAATAGCACATCACAAAAAACAAACCATCAGGTGTGTCCGAGTTACAAAATAAATCACATTGGCAGATGGAAAACAATTGCCACGCAGATAACATTACTGCTTTCATTATTCCTAGTTTATTTAACAGTGGAAGAATATGAACGGAACACAACGCACCTGAGACAACAGATCTGCAGCTACATGTACTGGGCTGGCACATCTGTCAGCAATGACCAGAACTTCTGAAGGTCCAGCTGGCATGTCAATGGATATCATTGCTTCACTGTTCTGATGTAAACACCGTGGATTTTTTTAGTTGAAACAACTTCAGCAGCACATGGGTTTTCAGACAAAGCAGAAAGGAAATAGGAAAACATGAAACTCGGAGGAATATGAACACACCTGGAGAATCATCTTTGCAGCTGTAACATACTGATTTCCTGGACCAAAAACTTTCTCCACCTGCAAGTTATGACTGAATCTCAGAAAACAAATTTCACAGACAACAAAAACACAAAAAGAGGCTATAATAGCAACAATGGAAACAATTGTTGGATACAAATAAAGCATCAGCACACCCAAACAAATATTATCTCACTTAGGTTCCAAAGACCTACATTGAGAGAGAACCAATACCTTAGGGCAGGACTCTGTTCCCCATGCCATAGCAGATATAGCCTGAACTTGGAAAGAGAAGATTGAGAAAATAAGGAGATGAAAATGTGATACCTGCATATAACCTCGCATAAAAATAAACAATATCAAACCTGAGCCCCTCCAGCTTTAAGAATGTGGGTAACGCCAGCCTTCTTGGCACAGTACAATACCTCCTGTTGAAACGTAATCATTCATCAGCAGGAAGTCACTTTCATAAAAGAATTTAGATGTCAATACATACCTTGCATATGCTGCCATCCTGACTAGGTGGAGTTGCTAAAACAACAGTTTTGCACCCAGCAATCTGGGCAGGCTGTGCAGGGAAGTAAAATGCCAAAGTAATTGTTAGACTAAACTACCCATGATAAAGGCAAGCAGAGCATGGATGGCTAACATGAGAGTTCCAACCAACTTACAACTGCAAGCATCAAAGCTGTGGAAGGTAGGACTGCAGTACCTCCAGGAACATAGAGACCAACAGAGCCAATACTTCTTGCCACCCGTTTGCACCTAACACCCTATAATACTTCCAAACATTATAGAAGGAAAATGGATTAAGTATTTTGAAGCATGCTTGCAAGAAGCACGAGTATCACTTACCTTCATGTTCTCGACACTTTTTTCACTCGATTTTTGAGCAAAATGAAATGCATATATGTTGTCATATGCAACATCAAATGCTTCCCTAACATCTGCATCTAGCTGCAATACAGAAAAAATGCTAAATTAAACTAAGCAACGTAACAATTTGACTAAGGCATAATACACAATAACCCGTCATAGGGAGACAGATGAACATAAAAAATTGTGCTTTTCTAGCAGGAATACCTCCGGATTGGGAAGCTCGGAAACATCCACAACAACATTGTCCAGGTTCACTTTATCGAATTTTGCAGTGTACCTGCACAACAAAAGCATCAACAAGAAGCATTACAGCTTCCTGAAATGCTTTGATCATGAGAAGCAAAAAAAAAACATAAAAGCATAACCGACTCTTTAACTGCAGCATCCCCTCTTGTGCGAACATCATCAACAATAGGGTTCACCTGGCAGGAACAATGATGCAATCAAGACATGAACAATATGGAAATGCCCCCCAAGCTAACACAAACAACTGGAAACTCGGATGCTGCTAAAGTAATTAGCTCCGTTCATGAGAGAGAGCTCACCACACTGAAAATGGAAGAGAAATCGATCCGAGGGCGAGCTTTCAAGCCATCAACCTCTGCATGATTTAGCTCAGATAACCGGTAAGACTTCATTGCACACCTTATGCTGCTCAAAGCGAATCCTGTGACATCCAGAACCCGGTAAACACACGAAAGGAAAGAACCGCAATAACGCCAAAAGCCTCTACTTGCTAACCTGCTGGCAGCATAATACCTTTGGATTGAATTGAAGATGGCCGGTAGTTGAAGTCCGGAGCGGCGGCAAATAAACGAGATTGCGGTGGAAGGAGAGGTTTAGTGAGCAAGCTGGTCCGGTTAAAGCACAGAAACTGGGAGTCCATCAGCGCCTTCAATCGGATTAATCAGAAAAGGATCGCCATTTTTACTAATTGGGCAGTGCTCCCTAATCTACAAATCTGCGAATTTGACCACTGAAAATCGGTAACTTATTGCAAACCCGAGTTCCTATGACCCTATCTTGACAATGTTCCTTCCATACCATTCACGATAATCAGCTACCGTATATACAATAGTGAGTTCTGAGTTGTGATATCATTCCCCACAATTACATTCTTTAACTACCGTAGCTAATTTGGTACTTTTAACTTTTAAGTGCAATTAACCTCTTACAATTATCTATCTTCAGACAGTGGGGAGGCTTGGAGCGGGAGTGGCGTGGTGGAGCCGTGGAGAATGGAGAGGCGTGCAGCCAGGTGACTGGCGGCGGCGGGAATCACTAGTTGGAGCCTTCGAGGACTGGAAGCCGAGGGTTGCGGCAGGTGGAGGCTTGGAGTTACTGATGGCGGCGGCGGGACAGGGTTGGTGGAAGGCGGCGACGATTAGGGTAGCCGGTTCCTGCAGCAGACAGCGGTGGAGGTGCGTCTCGGCGAAGATTGAAGGGGAAGGAGGAGTGGAGGATGGTGCCGTGCCTAGCTGGACTGCTGGAGAAAAACGATTAGGGATATAGGGTGTTTGGCTGTTTGCCCGAAATGAATCCCCTCGTGCTTTCCCAGCCCCATTTTTTTTAGAACACCCTTAAACGGCGCCGCTTTTACTCATTTAGGCCATTTCTTTTCTTTTTTTTTTTTTTAAGAAATTTAGGCCATTTCCCGGCTGTGCTAAAAACGTATACAAATTAAAAACGGTCCCGAAACGCAATTTTTCCGATTTTACCGATTTTACAACCATTTTTTCTAATTTTATATACAATACAACTTAAAAACGATGCGAGTATCCGACCAAAAAAAAAAAAAAACGATGAGAGTAAGATATTACATGCAAGTGTGAAACACAAGGTTGTAGCTTAAATATATCTCCACAGAAACTAATTCGACTAATCTTACATATATTGCGCCCTTGCAAGTTGCAACCGAGCAATTACAGCCAAGCCAACAGTCGGAACAAAAACAAAACAGTTGCAGCTTAGAAAAGAACCTATTGTAGCAACCAAGCTTCAGAATGCATGCATCACTATTTACCAAACACACCGAAAGCATGATACTTTGTTCTCACGGAATTATTGATGCAATTATTCAATCCAACTTCAACTTCAAACCAAAAATATTGAACTTCTGCAGGCTCAGTCATTCATCCAACCCGCAGAGTTGTAGGGGTCTCCAAATGGGTGCGGCTGAGGACCAGGAGCAAAACCCATGGAACCCACTGAAAATTCAGATGCCTCTTCAGCCCCGTATCCAGGCCCCGGGTGCAGAGGACCATGAGGGGGAAGATGCATCGAGTCACCCTGGAACGCTCCAGTCCCAGGATGCCCTCGAGCATCATACCCACCACCTCCTCCATTCATCATCACAGGTGGATCATAACCGAAACCTCCTGCCATCGGTTGCTGATTCAATTCATTCAGTTGCGGAGCATACCGATCCATCACAGACCTACTGCTTACATACGATGACAATTGTGGCTCATAGGTATCCCTCAAAAAGGACGGCTGTGGTGCTGATGACTCAAAATAATTTCCAGTTGGTTGATCATACCGAGTCTCGGGACGATGTTGCCTGTAACTCAATCCCTTGTACCCTCCTGTATCTATGCCATGCCACATGTTAGCATCATGGTTGCCACCACCATAAGCTGCTGCTGCTGATGGTGCTGCATGATGATGGGTATATGGTGGTCCAGCTCTCTCATGGCCTCCATATTGATAATCACTTTCCCTCATCTG